ACACACACACACACACACTTTTATATATCCAGGGCTGAGATAACCAGGTCCATGTTTATATTCTAATAATGGAGTCATTGATTTATGAGAGTACTTCATAAAGTATATTCAAACATATGGAGAGATCATTGACTTTGGTCCACGCCAAGTCCAAGTGGTTGAGGTTGACAATAAGTGTAGTGACACAACTGCAGATAATGAATAGATATTTGTTATTAAAGGACTCAAGCAGTGAATTAGCACTTGATTGGTGCTGAAATATTGACTATTAAATTGCTTTTTCACCATGACAAATATAAAAGCTCCTCACTTTAATACGATCCACTCATTGGTCAAGGTTTGGTCTTGATGTTTTTTAGAGGAGAGTTTACCTTGAAAGATAATTGAGTTGAATGAAAAAGGAAAGCAGAAACTCAAAGAATTTGTATGGATTTGTGTTTTATTTTCACAAGTACAGTTTATAGAAGCATAGCTTTAAAGCCCTCTCCACAGTCTGTATTGCCGCACCATTTGCTTGAATTTAATTTAGACAGGAAATGAGACATTTTTAACAGCATATTATATGTTTTGAGTTTGTAAAACACAAAATGAAAAATGTTTGTGAGTGAATCAGAACTTTCCTGACATATGTCATCTGTCAACTTCTCATCACATCTACTTATCACGATTGTATAGACAAAAAAAATTACCTCTTTATTTTTTTTCTCTGCTACTTTAATACAGGTGGAGGCCGAAGACATTTGCGAAACAGGAGCATCATGCAATCATCAGGAATGCAGTAGAGGACTCTTATAAAAGGCTCATTCTGCCTTTCCTCACTAGGAGTTACAGGTACTTAAAGAGTACTTGTGTGTTTGCTTTCAGGGCTTTTCTTTATTACATAACCACTTATTCATTTACACTGAGTCCCTATTAGTCCCCTTTCCCCCTCATCTCTCACCTCTTCTTTCTTCTCCGTAAATTAATTTCCACTTTCAGTCTTTGTTTCTTTTTACCCTCACCATACAACCAACATCTCCACATTCCTCTTCACTCTCTGCTTTCCTTTTGTTGATATGCACTACTTTCCCTGTCTTTCTATGTCCCAACCTTTTTCTCTTTCTCGTTCATTCCCTCTCATCAGGACTAAGCTGACAGTTGCAGCAGAGAAGGAATCAATTGCTATGTTTGTGCGGAACCTCCGCCAGCGGCTGCTTGTTTCTCCAGTCAGGGGTTGTATCGTATTGGGGGTGGACCCTGGCTTTAGACACGGCTCTAAGCTGGCTATTCTCTCCCCTACTAGTAAGTAAACTCAAGAGTGTACTGGTTTTTATGGTTAGTATTCACTGGGGTCAATAGGTGGGTATGTAGGTAGGTTGCCAGGTAGATTCCCTTTGTCATTGCACAGAGCGCAAGATTATTTTCAGCAGTGCATTCACATATAACACAGAAAAGGAAAAAAAAAAAGAATTCACTAATGGAAAAGAGATATTCTATTATTTTACATATGTAAATCAGTAATTAAGTATTTTTTCCAAAATAATTTCATGTAACCAGGCACCACTAGACTGGCTATTCCCACTGAGGTGTGTTTATGTGCATGTCATAAAATAGATACCACTTGGCGTGACCTAGGTGGGTGGATTATGTGTGTGCACGTGTGTTTTTTTTTTTTTTTGTATGTCCACTGTACTTCACTGTAGGTCTCAGCATGTCTCTCAGTGGGTGTGGCCTCACACTGTGCAGGGGTAGATCCCACCCTCTGGGTGACTGATTGTGTGGCCACAAGTCACGCTGACACACTTACAACAGACAGACACCAGCATATTACTGTATATATATATCACGTGCCAGGCTGAGCATGCTATGGTCGCAGGTTTGGGCCCAAGCCTACATGACTTCCTGTCAGAGCTTTCCCTTCAGATCTATACTTACTCTAAGGAAGCAGGGAACTGGCAGGGAATGGACTTCCTGTGGAGGATTAGGCAGTGCAGATGTGGAGATCATAAATTATTTTATTCATTTACAGCATTTTTGCCTCATATGACATCGTTCAGTGGAAAGTCATTAGCCGACAGTATGGAGTTAATTCTATTTAGCCTCCCCTTGTAATACTTTGCCAGCAACATTGTGTTTTCTCCCTCTCTCCCCGTTTGTCTTCATCTCTCCGCTATCAGGTCAGATTCTCCATACCGATGTAGTATACCTGCATAGCTCAAACCAGCCAAAAGAAGCAGAAAAACTGCGCTACCTCATGACCAAATACAGGTATTGGTGTTTAATTTAAGTGAACCATAACACTAAACAAATCTTAAACCCTTGTGGTGATTCCTTTCTTACTCCTCATTGTCTCTATCGTCTTGTCCATACCAGTTGTACCAAGGTTGTCATTGGTAATGGGACAGCGTGTCGTGAGACTGAGTCCTTCTTTGCTGACCTCATCTCCAGGCGCTACTTTCACCCCCTGGACGTGTCCTACTGGTAAGGTCTTCCACCCACTGCATGCTAAAGCAGGTCCTAGTTACCCTGGACCCTGTATAGAGAACGGTGGTGTCAAAAATGGATAAATGAACTCTACTGTGAACCTCACTGCTCTATTGCATATTCTGATATTCATGTATAATTATTTAATAATCCACAGTACATACGTTTATTTTAGTAAAATAAACTGCATTTAATAGTTTTCATTGTTTGCAAAAGCCTCAATCTGGGAGAGAGGTACGCAACACCGGGGCGACTCTGGGATGAAGATGGATGTCAGTCAGATCAGGAATGATGGGGAGAAATTATATTATGGCGTTGGTATAAAAAAAAAACTACAGAAAGTTGAGGGTGTGGAAAGGAAAGAGAGGGTGAGGAATGTGAAAGGGCAAAGAACAGAGTAGGAAAACGTGTGGGAGCGAGACAGCGGGACACAGATGGTGAGGAAGACAAATTGGAATGTGTCCCTCAAGCGAATATTGTCTATGAAAGCCATCTGGACTTTGTTTCACTTTGGTCCAATTGAAGGTTGGCGGTGCACGTTGTGTCTGTGAACAGGCCAGTCTTCACTTCAGAATACAACGGCACAGAACCTCGATCCAAGCATAATAACCACTGGCTTCTCGTTGCTCCGTCTCCTTCTCCCTCTGCTGAGTTCCATGTGTGTTTGTTGACTTGAGGTTTGCACTGGGACCACAGCCTAGAATGATTCTGAGCTTTGCTTGAATGTGTGTGTATTTAAGAGTTTTCTCAGTATTTCTGAGTTCATGCACACATGCACACTCCAGAGGTCATACCTCGGCTTTAATAGCCCATGCTTTTTCTCTAAAGTTCCATTTCTGTCTATTTGCTAAAGCTGAAACAGTCAAAGTGATGGGTTTATTAAGTTAACTTCCACTTAATTATTTTTGTGAAAGACATTTTCTCTTGGGAGCAGACTCGAGCACCTTCAAAGCAGCAACATTTCACATCTTGATATAATGTCTCTCTTGTTGAGTCTTTTGGTGTTCATGCGTTTCAAAACACGTAAGACTGTTGGGACTTCTGGTTTGATGTGTTACTGGTTGAATGTCTTCTGTCACCTGATATGATTAGCCATATTTCTGTTGCTCGAAACACATGTATAAATGCTCTGCTGTCGCTTAAGCAGGGTTTGTAGAATAAAAGCTTTTGCTTGAACTATAGAAGCCATAGAAATATGGTTGTTGTTAACCAGATGAAATCACTCTGGAGTTTTCCGGTCATATGTCTCACTTTGATTTCTTCTAACTGTGCCTGGTGAACTCTTAGAAACCTAGATGTTAAAGCTAAAACTGTGTTTGTCTTTTTCTTTTTCTTTCCATGTTTATTTCTGTCTGAACTCATCACCTCGCTGTCCTCGCTCTCCTTACTTTATTGCTACTATCGTCATTCCCATCATCTGTCCTCTTCATGTGTTTCCTTCATCATATTGCAAGCAATTAAATGTCCTTTTGAAATGAATGACTAGCAAATCCACATAATGCCAGTCTACTCTCATTCTTCCCTCTGAGATGTGGTCCTCCACATTTTTATGTCCTTGAAATATAAGACTCTGGGGTATGGAGCCACTTTACACTTAAGTGTTACACACAGTATGAGCTACATGTGATACCTGGGTGGAGTTAACCGCAAAATTGCCCAACAAAATGTAAAATCTTCAGCTCCAAGTGTCTGATTATTAGTAATATGAGTTTATTTTCTTTAATTTGGAGTCCTTCAAGGTACCTGGATGAACGTTGACCTTGGCCTCTGATATTCCAATTTTGACCAAAATATCCCTTGATGGATGAGGAAGGGAGGTCAGCGGAAGATGACTGACCTCACAGAGTGATGGTTGTTAGTAACTGTGAGGGTCTCTCTCCCCCACTGGCTGACCCACAGCTGACCCTGACCTGCCATTAGTGAAACCTCATTACCACAGCAACAAGCGTGATGGCTATGACAGAGAATAGCCATGTTGCATCAGGAACAGCAAGGGGTCTTAGTGCGTGCTGTGACTGTCCCCAATATAATTAATTGACCCAGTTTCTAGAACACTTTGTGACGTGGTGGACGTTCTATACGTTCCTTTGTTGACCTTATAGCCAAGTTGCTTCAAACTGTTTTTGATCGACACGTATAGGAAGTCTTTCAGGCATCCCATTCATAGACAGGCTCACGCAGCAGAACATACAGCAACCCTGCACTACACAGACAACACTAGAGCCTCACTGATATATTGCTTGGGGATAAAAATTGGCCAATTTGTAACAAAGTTTATGGTTTAACTGTAAAAATCATTTTTTTTGTCATAAGCATTTGATAATGACATCCTTGGAATCATTGTTAACTTTTTAGCTCCCTTATATTAGCATTGGCCTCCAAACATCAATAAAGGCTCTAGACAAAACTGTTCTGAAGCCAACACTGTCTTTTATAAAATCGCTCACAAAATCCCAGCTCCACCTTTACCATCTGTATTTCTTTGGCTTCCCGTGTCTTTTTTTTTTCCTAAACGTTCTTTGTCATCCTCAGCCACTAAAAGCAGCTGTGCACTTGTAGATGTATTTTGGCTCAAAGGCAAAAATCCAGAAAATGTTGTCAAAATGAGAGAGAGGGAGAGAGAGGGGGGGGATTGTGTTTCATTTTCATTATATTTGACCAAACGGAAGAGCAGGTTTGATTTTTAACATCATTACCTTGTGGGGATCAGCCAGTAAAATGTTATACTACCAGTGTTGAAAGCGTTTTTTTTAATATATATATAATTTTGGCAGAAGTACTGTTAGAGGTATTATATGACTGTGGTTTTTTTATGACTATGTGTATCTATACCAGCACATGTGTCTGTAGAGCCAATTAAACCTCTCCTCTCCTCTGCAGCTTGACAGTGCATTAGTTCATTTAAGACCTCAGCCTCATTTGCACCGTCTGCTTCCTGTCTCCCTATGTGAGCCTTCATTGTGTCACCACCCCCACCCTACTCCACCCTTTCTTCTCTACCCGCCTGTCTCTCTCTCTCCGTCCTTCTGCCTCAGTGCTCAGCTGGAATGACAGCCAGAAATGGCAGCCTGCGGGACGTGTGTGCGTGTGCGTGTGTGTGTGTGTGTGTGTACACTCATCGTACTCACTGAGTCACCTCTTCCATAATTTGTAAGGTGTGTTCTTTTTTAAAGACAGCCAAACAAGGGCACATCTATGTAGTATCATGCAGATGGAGGCATAGGTGTGAATCTGTGTGAAATTCTGGTCAGTTTAATGTTCCGTCAAGTTATTTATCTAAATCTCTCTCATGCATGAATAACAGCAATATGTGTTGTAGCTGGCTCCCTCCACCATTCAGTGTAATCTTGTATCTTTTCCATAATCCTGCTAACAAGCAAACAAATATAGAGGAAACATAACCTTCTTGTGGGAGGTGATACAGATCTCTGTATTAGCCTCCTGAGTCTAACTAGTGTAACCTCAGCATTATGCGTGTCTCCTTTTCAACTGCATCTCGTGCATGTAACCTTTATTTTTGTCTGAGGAGAAAAAAATCCCCAGATACAACTTGTGTTAGATTTATAACAAAGTGAGTTACATGATTAAGCCTGAACAACGCCTTTATCACTGACCTGCATCCTGCAGGACATTTTACAGCATGAGGCTTTATTTAGCTGACAAGGTTTTTCTGCGCCTGTGGTGTCCCCCACTGAATGCACACCAGGTTATCTGCCACACAGCTGCGTCCCAATAATTTAAAGACCTGCTGCTGGACGTCACTTTCTGACATATTGATTCAAAAAAAAGAAAAGAAAAGAAAAACAATGTTGCTGAATTAATTACATTATTTTGTAGGTGGTTTAAACCTGTAAGTATGCACTGTATGGCTGTGTGTGAGGTAGGTGTGCAAATATGTGTGTTTCATGGCCTGGTTATTGTCATTAACACCTGCTCATGGCTAGAACTCCTACTTGTGTGTTTTTTTTTGTGGCACTTGACAGATCAGTACAGCACGACCGAGTCTGTCTTTGCACTGACTGGTAGCATGTGTGTTTTGTCAAAGCCCATAAGAGTGCTTGGCACGGGCTCGACAGGTGTGTGTGTGTGTGTGTTTCAGTGGTGCGTGTGCTTCAGTGGTGTGTTTTGCTTGGTGACGTGCAGCAGTTAGTTACCGCAGTCAGCTTTTTCCCCGCTGATTGGCGGGGATCACACACACACACACACACACACACACACACGCACACGCACACAAAACCATCTCCCTGCTGGCATATCACTTTCAGCGGCTGATTTATTACTAGTATTAAACACTGGTATTTAACTAAGCAGACACAAACTCATGCACACCTTATTTCTTGATTAAAATAAAAACACTTAAACTCAGACAAAACCACAAAAAGGTGTGTGATTGAGTGTTACTGTCATCATGTCTTAATTTTCACTTCACATCGATTCTTTTTTTTTTTTTTTTTGCATCTGGTTGCTTCAGGCTGTTAAACAAGACTTAAACTCTATTTGCCTTCACAATGCTGTGATTTAACTGTAATTTATGTGAATATTAATGCATGTGTTTTGGTCTGTGTACATGAAGAGTGACAAGTTGACAGCGGTTGGCTGATGTTAATGAAAACAGAGGGCGAGAATATGTGGGGTAAGGTTAGGGAGATCTTTGGGCAATGGTGATGATACATATACACACAGACACACACACACACACACACACACACACACACACAGTGACCACAGCTAAAGGCGATCAAAAAACGAAATCCAATTTCTTGACCACTTGCGCCTTCGCTCCTCAAGGCAACGAGATGACCGACCCCGTTACTCTTTCTCATAAACAAACAAACACATCCTTCAGGGCTCTTTAAGTCCCCAGCCTTTAATTAATTATTTGATAAATTACAGGTAATTAATTAAGTTTAGAATTGACTATAAAATCTTTATGCTTTATGATTACCCCAGCTACAACCTCTTTTTCGAAATCTGTGTGTATGTGTGTTTCTTTGGCA